CTTCCAGCCAGTGACACTTACATTTATGAATTGTTAACCATTTATAGGACAATTATCAAAGGAATGGTTAGTGACTCACTGCAGTCCTACACTACTTGGCTTACTGAGGTTGTGAACCTCAGTCAAATCTGAGAAATAAACAACTGAAAGTCTGTTCCCTCTCACTCACCTTTGTGAGCTGTGGAAGGGCTCTGCACTTCGCCACAAAAACCTAGGACACAGCCAACTTCTGCACCGATATAGCAAATGCTGCTCTCTACAGTGCTGATAAGATCTATGGCAAATTTTCAGAATAAAATCAGATAAACTGAACCTGAGGCTCAGTAGGTAACGTGGCACTGTAAAAAATCACAGCACTATACCAGCTACTAGGAAGAAAATTAACTCTATCCCAGCTGAAACCAGGACAAGGACCTTTGGCTTCACGCGACTTACAATCTCTCTTTCGTTCAAATAGTTCTACATGTGTTTTGAATGCTCATTTAGATTATTCTACTTCCAGTAATCACTTTGCTGCTTTAAGACCACACACGTTCATAAAAAACTCCAGCTACTTTCAAGAATGAAGCCAAGAGCTTAAAGCGGCATTCTCAGTCACTCTAGAATTAACAAAATACTACATGTTAGAACGTAAAGAATGTAAGTTTAAATAATGGCAATTATGGAAAACAACAGAACTCAGATCTGCTAATGGCTATCACATCTGATGGTTTTGCGTTGCTCATGCTGCTGAGTAGCTTTAGCTCAATAGACTTGGACTTCTCAAGTCCAAGTATTTTGATGGCCAACAGTGCATTCAGTGAATCTGCCCAACTGACGCTAGCAAAGAATCTGACCCAGTATTGTGAGGAACTTGGACTAGGGCCAGCAGTTCAGCAGCGAACATTTGAATAGGCCCTATGCCATCCACTGCACCACCCAGCCTTCCCATTCTGGTTCATTTTGGAGAAGAGCTAACGCCTCTCATTGGTAAGGTTAGCTGACGTGAACTGTCACAGCTCCAAAGCGGAAGGCTTGCACCGCGTGCCTCGCTCTAACAAAGCAAAACGAATGGCACAACGTGGATAACTTGCTTGACAGTTCCTGGGGAATTAAGTTTTCTATTTTGCTTTGCCTTTGTTGATTCATGCACTCACGCCTCCCTCCAGAAAAGGATGAGTAAAAGTCCAGCACGTAGTCTACTTCAGAGCACCTTCTATGCCTACAGATATATACCATAAGCTACCAGATGACGTCTAAGAAAGACAATTACCAGGCAACCACACTCACGATGGAATAAACCTCTTTATTCTGTGTCTATTTCTGAGCTAGCAGAGTAAGTCTTGCTTGGAATCTGCATTTTAAGCAAAAGCCTACTAACGTAACTTTAACTAGACCTCTCAGGATTTTGAGATCTATTTATTACGATTTTTTAAGAAATATCCTGGTGAGCATTTTGGAAAGGAACTAACTGGCGTACTAAACCTGAGGCAAGCCAGAATGTCTGAAGCCAGCTACAAGCCTATCACGATGATAAACAGCTCAGGGTCCAGATGTCCATATATGGCAAGACTTCCTATAAGACTGACAGTACTGTATGTGCATTGCGTATGGTTCTTGGATCAGATTCACATTCCTCGGGTATGTTTCTCTGGGAGCTTTTGATTTCCGCTTTGAGGGCTGGCTCAGACCTCCAATTGCTCTTATAAAAAAAAAAATCTGTGCCTGAAAGTTGAAAATGTGCAAGATTCTTTCTTTAAGTACACAAACACTCCAAGTCTAGCCACTTTCCTGTAGTCTTGCCAGGTTTTCAGTATGTCTGATACCTGATCAAGTGACTTTTTGGGGGAAAGGAGGAAAAAAAAAAAAAGAAGGAAAAACACCAGAGAGGAATGTAGCATATCCACACCTGTACATTTTACAAGACTTCACCAAAGGAACTATACCAGCTGAAGCTGATGTAGACACACACATACCGTATATAGCTGAGTAAACAAGTCTGCAAGGCCGCTGTAGTGAATTCCTAGTTTCAGCAGAAAAAATACACTATCTGAAAAGCATGTGCTGTATAAACACCTGCATGGAAGTCAAAATTAGTGCATTTTAACCATTTTATGCACCAATGCCAAGATGTACTTCTCCAACCCATGACATATTGTCATCAGAACGGATAAGCTGAAGACTGATTGGACTCTGAAAGATCTACCTTTGCTTCCAGGTTCCCTTCGCCTCTGTGCGAACAAACACATGCACAAACGAGGCACCCGATGTGTCATCTCTAACAGCACAGAACCCAAAATGACAAAAAGGCAAAACCTGATGGACTCTGATTCTTACCTGCTTTCATGGGTTTGTACAACTTGGAATTCAGTGGGCTAATGCCCAATTCACAGTGGTGCAAGACCAGAATTAGTTCTGAAGTCCAAGTGCCTATTCAAGTCGTCTTTTTTTTTCTCAGGGCAGCAAGTGGATGGAGCTTGCTGTACTTGGCCTGGAGTGTGAGGACTTAGGACAGATTTATCCTGTAATTTTGGATTTCCTGGCTTTCTGCTGGTTTGTTACTTTTAAACATACTTTTTCTGTCAGTGAGATTCTTAGGTTTTGTTTAATAAAATTGTTTCTCTGAAAAAACCTCTTACACGGAAAGTTATAAAACATGTCTAGAGCCTCTCTCTCTCTGATGTTCTCCTACCATATTTAGGCATTTTAAAAAGGCATTCTGTTTACCTGGTTACATTTGCATTTTGGTATGCATGTCATACATAATTTGGTACACATATTATTTACCCAGCACTGAGGCCATTGGAGTCCTTCAAGTAAATACAGATTTCGGGAGGCCTCATGGGTTTGGGAACATACATTATTTACCATAACTGTTCCTCTGGGATATTTTTTTTTTTTTCTTTCAGAGCCAATCTAATTTCTTTTAACGGAGAATTTCAAGCAGAAGAAACGACATCCAAACAACTTTACCAGCCAAAGTACAGTGCTGGCAGAATATAAATAACAGTTTTACAGTACAATATATCCTACTGGGGCTTTCCGTGAAAATGCATCTTTTTCCCTCAAGAATGCTGTGCATACATATTGCTGTAGCATAGCGTGGAAGTACGCCTACATATGGAGGGACGGAAAGAAGAGGGGTATGGCTGTGGGAGAAAGCCTACACGCAAAAGATGGCATCTTTTAAGATCTCCGTCAGATTTCAGTTTGCCTACTAAGACACATTAAGCCGGTCTCTCTCATTAAACACTGACATACTTCTACAGGTCAAAAGCCAAAACACTGGCATTCCTTGCGTTAAAGGGGAGGTCAAACAACATGACATCACTGAATATTCAAATGACACATGGGGAGGTGGGGGAAGAACCATCCTCCTGGTTAAAAAAGAAAAAAAAAGGGGAAAAAAAAAAAAAAAAGAAAACCGTAACAGTTATCTGCAATGATTTAATACAAACCACAACATTTGGGTTTGGGCTGAGTGCGGTGGCATGCCAGCCTCTTTTTGTTGTAATCCTGGGGTGGACCGTCAGCAAGGTTGGGAAGCAGGGATGTGCGAGGAACGTGTTGCTCAGAAGTGACAGCTGCACACAGGCAGTGGGAAAATAATAGCCACTTCTTCCACGCTTCAGACTCTGTCCGCCGTGCCAAATATTTCAGCGTAAATAGGCACTCTCTCTATTCATAGAGAGCATCTATTAGGGAAGGAACACATCACAAATATTCAGTGTGATTCAGTGGTACACAGAGTCAATTTATACCCGGTAGCGTAATTACACCTTTTTTTGGCGGTACCAAAGCGCCGGGACCGTTCGCCGCCGGGCACCGGGCACCCCGAGGCGAGG